GGGGGGGGGATCAGAAAAATGAACAACAGGTGGGAAGGTAGAGGCATGTCTGCCGTGGGCCTCGTAGGAAGCATCCAAGAGCACACACATAAGGAGTTGGACTCTCCTTTGCTCGCTGTAATCCATGAGCACATCTGGAGTTGGATTCTCCTTTGCCGCACCATTTCTTCAATCCTTCTCTCCTTCATCCAGCCATTCGGCCTGCATATCTATCCATGCATTTACTTGGCAATCATCATCGGAGGGTTTTGATTATACCAGTATTTGCCTCTGTTGCTTTTAACCAAATGCAATCTTCTTCAGGCCTTCCCCTGCCTCCGTCATTCTTGGGTGACCTCCGTCCCTCTTCTTGTATATTGTCTTTAACCATGCTAATACTTGCTGTCTTCTCACCAGGAATCTACCTTCCCTCCCTCTCTTCCCACCCTGCTAACCATTAAATAGTGGGTGGGTGGGTGGGTGGGTTGGTTGGTTTAGATGTGAAATTTTTTTCTTGACTTTTTACAATAATGGCCTCACAACATTTTTCCTTTTGTGATTGATTAAGTTCACTCAGTTCTAAAGGTCCATTCATGTTATAGGTGTTTCAGAGATTCCTTTTTATCTTTTAACTTTGTGTAGTACTCTATGTGGGCATATATCACAATTTGATGATCTAGTCTTACAATTTATGTAGTATTTAGTTCAGCTGTAGAGAGAGGTCAAATAAAGTGAGGCGGTCTTTCTCTCTTCATGATTATTACTGCAGTTGAGCATTACGTTCATTTTTCTAGTCGTCCCTGAGCAATGAATAACAATGTATGCGTTGTATTTGGATGCAAGTTTTCTCAGTCTTGTTTTTGTGAAGTTGTCAATATAAGAAAATACCAACAGAGAACCAATTGCTTCCCATTGGAACAGAACAGCCAACATGAATCTGTGTTCTCAGAAGGAGGGAGTGCTTATGCGAGTGCAAAACCCAAGTGGGCAGGGATTGTCTGAGCAAGGGGGAGCAGACAGGAAGGCATTGAAAGTGACTTTGAAGTCTCTGGGTGGCCTAACTGGATAAGAGCTGGGCTATTAACCTGAAGGTTGTTGGTTCAATCCCCTGACCCACATGTTCCTCAGAGGACAGGCCCAGTGATAGACTTCCGCAAGATTATGGATTACATGGAACTGTGTGTGACCTCCTCCCTGGGGGACAGACAACCGAAAAGTGGATGAAGGGAGACGTCGGACAGGGCAAGATATGACAAAATACCCATTTATAAACTATCAAGGGCTGATGAGGGAGTGGGGAGCGGGGAGGGAGGGGAAAAATGAGGACCTAATGTCGGGGGTTTAAATGGAGAGAAAATGTTTTGAGAAACGATGTACAAAGCACTTTACACAATTGATGTGTGTATGGATTGGGATAACAGTTGTATGAGCCCCTAATAAAATGTTAAAAAATAAAATAAAATAAAAATAAATCATAAAAAAAAAGAAAAGATTATGGCCTTGAAACCCAGTGAAGAACAGTTCTACTGTGTGTATCATGGTATCTCCTTAAGGCACCAAATTGACTCCATGACAAATAGCAACAGCAACAACAACACAGTTCCTGAAACCCTGGGCATCCTATTCCTCCTGTAGAAGTGTCAGGAACAGAGACAGTCCTCTGATGACACTAGAGTATCGGAACTCTAGTCTTCATCAAGGCATCCGCAGCTCCTGCCACAAGCCCTGTGGTGGACAAAGGGTAACAGTGTCTTTTGTGCATTAGGCTCTAGAGAGTGAACAAATGGTACACAAATAGCACATTTTGTAGAATGTACACTGGTTCTTTTCATCTCTGTTACTCTTGCTAAGGGAGGAAATATTCCTGTTGTGAAGCGAAAGGTGAATATCACCAATCCATCCAATTTTGCCTCCCTTAATTTAAAATGCTGATTCATAAGACTGCTTTTCTCCTGTCACTTTAGCTTGACTAAAATGTCCATTAGCAATCAAGCTTCCTATTAATAACGACTCTGGAAGAGGAGCAAGATCAATATATCATTTAATGGCTGCTCCAGTGGGGACACTATTGATTCTATGACAAATGATTTTGAAATGACGTGCCATCGTGCAAATTCTATTTATTTTTGGTGGCTTTGCCAGGCAGCTACAAAAGTATGGCTTTTCATTATTTATCATTTTTCCAATATCAGAGTTATTGGATACTGAAATATTTTGTAAGGATTACTGTACCATGGGTATTGATAGATTAATAATTTTTAAAATTGTAAAAGCTTATTTTGGGGGACAGCAAATGATATAGGGCTCATATAACTACACTGCTTACATTCACCAGCTCCTCTGAATATTGAAAAGGAAGCTATCACAACAGTGATAGTCATCAAAGGTAGTAAACAACTCATACCATTGTTTTTATTTATTTGTGCATAAGTTATGTTGGCATTAGGGTAAGAATCCAGTAGCCTTTCCTAAACAAACACTAGCCCATTCAACCATCTCCACTGGCCCTCTTTTATTGGCATGCTTCAATAATGAATGTGATGAGATATGGATTGAGGTGAGAATGAAAACTGTAGAAAACTAACTCAATCATTCTAAAGTGAGCCAAGCAAGAGCACTGTAACATTGACAGTCTTTCAGGGGGTGGGAGGTGGGAAGATATGAGAAAATTATGTTGTTCCTGTTCCCTATTATAAAGTATCCTTGATAAAGTGGGGCCTTCAAGCCCAGAGGATGGTATTTTTTACAATCCACACTTGGTCTTATAATGCTGTTTGCTTTAATAAAGAGGTGTGCCTCTGCTTAGCATTGCACACATATAAGAAAAAAACCCCAAATTTGTATGTTTTAATGACATGGAAGATATACCTTGAGTGTTATTTTTAGGTAAATTTTATATCATTTAATAAATCAGATTTCATTCTGAAATAGAAAGTACACGTTATTCATTATTTCCTGTATCCTCTGTGCTTTCTTTAATATTTGTATGTCGTTTAGGCTATTAAAGAATGATCAGATATCCCAATTTTGTCAGATCAGGCTGACTTATTTTTATTAATCAGTTTTATTAGTCAGGGAAATTTCAGAAGAAAATTCTAGAAATGAGAAGAGATTGGTCTTTGGATGTATATACTTGATTTTCTCATGTGGCTGGTAGTTTTATAAATATCTACCTACTCTTCAAAAATGACTATTGCTTTAATCATGTATAGCTGATCATCTAGCCTTGGTATTTCAGTATTTAAGGACAGTATCAAGAGAAAACGAGGCCCTTGCAAGAGCTTCAGCGCTCTGGAAGTGAGAAATTAGATGTGGACACCGGGCAGCGGTGTTCTTTAGCTGAGCAGCAGAGTAGCTTCTGGGGCCCCAGCGGATTTGAACCAGGCAATTGATTTCACTTCCACCGTGCTAAATCAAGAAAGCTGCGCTAAAGCCTGTTGCCTTGGAGGCTGAGAAACTCAGAGAATTCAAGGCAACCACTCCCTGGAGCTGCCTTTCACCTTCATTCCAGGAAAGACTGATACTCATTGACACAGTGAGCTCTATGAAACGTGATGGTATGGAATTATTGTGTGTGTGTGTGTGTGTGTGTGTGTGTGTAGAGAGAGTCAACTTCCTGCGTGTGTGTGTGTAGAGTCAACTTCCTGCGTGTGTGTGTGTGTGTGTGTGTATGTAAAGAGAGTCAACTTCCTGCCAGAGAACCTAGAAAATTCCACCAAAACTGAAGAATTACCTGCCGTTAAATCTGTGTGCCTACGCACACACCACACAAACATTTTTTAAAAACTTGAGTTAGGTATGTCCCTGGCCAGTTACTGTAAAATCTATTTCCAAGGACAAATATGTGTTTGAAAGGTTTTGAATAAGTTGTAATACACGAAGTGTTTCATTCCTTATTAAATAAAAAGCAATGCTGGATTTATTTTCTGCATCATTAAGGATGCTTAGGGGGAGTTGGGATTTGCATAATCTTTGCATTTGGCTTACCTGCCTGTCACTCACAGCCATAAGGCTTTAGGCCAAGAAGTGCTGAAAGGTGGATTAGAATAAGAATTCTGATTGAACTGGTTTGGTATATTGGTGGAGCTTGATGGTAGTGTAATCGGCAAATTTAGTTAAATTAAAACTGAACATTGGGAGTTATGAAAATAATGAAAACATCATGATTCCCCCATATCACCTCGTTACTTTCAAAATAGCTATTGTGGTGTCTTGCCTGCCCTCTTGAAAGACAAATAAACCATTGTCTTGTAAGAATTTGATTCTAAGACATCTAGGGGAAGGAGATGAAAGACCTTATATTTCCTTTGGTAATGGTTTGATATATTAACTATGCTAATAAATTTTGTGATAAAAAACTACATTTGGAAATGGAGTAAAGCACAAAGCCGGAAACAAATGACCCACGATAAGTGAGAGATAGCCTCTGTCAACAATTGTTTTAATGATTTATTGACAAACACCTCCCCACCCCACCCCCCACCCCAGGGAAGGAATTTTAAGGCACAGAATGAACAATCCCACAATTATAAATTAATATATATATTTTCTTCTTTTGTAATCTGTTTATCTGCTTTTTCTTGCCATGATTAAACACATATATTTGGACTGAGTGCTATATTGTATCCAAAGTAATTCACTGCTCCTGGGTGGCGTTGCTTTCCTGTGCTTTCAGACCATCCTTGGAGAAACGGTTACTGTACAGAAATTTCTCAACTGCCGTTTTTGTGAAAGTGCAGCTCGTTAACCTTGCTTTCTTCTTTCCTATGTTTCTTGCCTTCTCTTTCTGCTTCCCTTTGTTCGTCAATCTCTATTCTTCTCTGTTTCAGCAAAACAATATCAGTCAAGGTAATTGATGATGAGGAATATGAGAAAAACAAGACCTTCTTCCTTGAGATTGGAGAACCCCGCCTGGTGGAGATGAGTGAGAAGAAAGGTGGGGGAGCTGCGCCAGGGCTGAGCCCCACAGCTTCTGCTGGCCGTGCCACCCCTGGATGCCTGCACTCTTCAGAACATGACTTACAAGGCACACATCCCTCCACCTATGTAACGGGGCATAGACCTACCCCTCAGCCTCACTGGCCCAGGCATGGGGTTGCATTGGTCCTGTTTGGCCACTCGGCACATTACAGACCTGGAATGCAGTTGACCAGGCCTCCCTTTCTGGGAAAGTTGGTACCAAGCACAAATGAAGGCAACATTCTGATTAGCTTCCTAATATGGAGGGACCCTCCTGCCTTCTCATTGATGCAGGAAGAATTTGTGAAAGGGCTAAATTAGCCCCCCCAAAAAGAAAACAGTTATTGAGACCAGCTGCCATTCCTCAAGATGCCCTTTTACATACTCAAGAGGTCCATGTGCTGCCAGTCGTCCCTCCATAACCGCACAGTAACATTCACCTTGGTGGATGGACACCAAGAGCATGAGCGTGTGACTCCAACCATTTGTTTGCCTTTTGTCTTGTGTTCCCACAGGAAGATCATTCCCATTAGAATAAATGACCGTGAGGAATATGAGAAAGAGTGCAGTTTCTCCCTTGTGCTTGAGGAGCCCAAATGGATACGAAGAGGCATGAAAGGTGTGAGAGTATACAAAGACATACCAGTGAGAAATTGTACTCTCCTCTCTCCGTGTCTCCCTACTCTCACACTGCACTCTCTCCTCTTCCTCGGCTTCCAAGAACTGTATCTTATTCCCTCTAAAGCTCTGCCAAATGCGTTCCCCTTCCTTCACTGACTAGTGCACCTCGCAATGCCCATTGCCCTTAAGAATGCCAACTAACCAGGGATGCAACCCGATTTCACAAATGCTGGGAGAGATCGCTGCCGTTTGAGAAGAGATGATATGAAAGACGGATTTTGGGTGTGTTTGTTCTAATGAAAGGGGCATTCTAAAAGGTAGCCTCGACCACTCAATTGTCCTTACAATGGTAGTACTAAAGAATATATAATGCCTATTAGTATTTCAAGATGATTCTAAAGGCAACTTATAGGAAATTCTGGAATTCTATAATTAGGTTTCTTTAGAGAATTCAGATTTTTTTTAATGAAATAAAACTTAATAAATGCAAAGATTCTTGAGGAATAATAGTGTTATTGACATTCTGATGTTCATTTTGACATATTCTCCTATTATCAAATTGACCCTTAATGTTCCCATAAATATATAACCCAGTCATACCAAATATATTTTTTGGTATTTATTCTTATAAATTCTTGATTCTTACTTATGTGTTTAAAATTTTCCTTTAACTTCAGGTGTACTCTATTGATAAGGACAAAGGAATTCCTTATCAACTTCGAAGCTAATTTTTTTTAGCTTAAACTGGAGCTTTCAATAACTAGCTACTAACTGATTATTTAGTATAAATCCTATTTATTTAATTACATTTGTAAAATGAGCACTTCAGTAGTTCATTTTCAGTATATCAGTAAATTTTCAGTATATCAGTAAATCTTATTAATTATCTACAAATTGATTGGTGAGAAGCAGTTTAGCAAATGATTGGATGGGTCACTTTGCAAAAATGTATACTTTTACTTTTGCATATAAGGAAAATGTCCAATCTATAGGATAACTCACCATAGACCCCAAATTTAAGGGACAATACTTATCCCTTATTTGTGAGAAATGCATGGCTTAGAGGCCATCCAGAAAAAATATATATCTGGTCACTGACTTAGTCATGTTCAAATGGTGTCAGCAACCTTGGACATGACAGAGAAGGGCATCAAGGCCATAATAACGAAGCCTGTTTAAGATGCTCCTTGGGTAATAGATGGAAGGAAAGAGATGCTTTAGAAAAGTGTGCTAATTTCTTGCAAAGATGGAATTTAAAAAACGGCTTGTTATCATATAGGAAAAAAGCACTTCTAAAAGTAGTCCTCTAAGAACCATCACAGGAAAAGGATCCTGGAGACCACTGTCCATTGTAGTTTTAGTCAAATATGCTGCCCTGTGAAAGAAACTTAAACCCCCTGCGAGCATGATCTGCTTTTCTCCTCAGCAAGTGGGCTCTTGTCACGAAAAATAAAACCGTTGACTCGTTCACAGGTGTCCTCTCATGGCTCTACCATCAAAGACAGAACTGGGTGTCATTGTCCTTGTAGCATCCCTGTATGCACGTGGGAAATAATTTGGTTGATACGTGTAGCCCTGTATCTTAAACTAAAATAAGGGGCTATATATGGTCCTGTTGGAACTTAAAGTCTTAAGAGACAAATTACACAGTTTCACCCTACAGCCTTTGCTCTGTTAATTTTGTGTGTGTGTGTGTGTGTGTGGCATTAGAAGCATTTTGGTTTTGCTGTTGTAAAGTGCAGCAAGTCAGAGATAAGGCTATACAAGTAAACACTTATTCCTGGGAATTTTAAATTTTAAGACATTCAAAAAAAATGTAAGCATTTTCCGTGGCCAAAAGATCTTGAAACTAGAATGCGCAGACAGAGAGCTTGGCCCGGAACCAAAATTTCTTTCCAGGCACATCAGCCAAGCCGGACTTTGTTAGATGTTTCCTTTATTCCCATTGGCTGAAAGGGGTGATTTAAGACTTCCATATGTCAGACGGGTAAGCCACTCCCGGGCACAATATTTAATATTAATATTCTACTATGTATAATAAAATAAATATATGCTTTCATGCCCAGTTCTCTCTTTAATATTAGTAGTATTAGAGGATACTTTTGAACAAGTCAGTAGTTTTATTTATAGTGACAAGAACCCACTAGTTAAAAATAGTAGAAATCTTTCATTAAAAATAAACATACACACACACACATCCATAGCCATCAAGAGGATTCTGACGCATTGTGACCCCTTTGGACAGAGTGGAATACCACCTTTGGATTTAGAAGCTGCAGCTCATGAAGGAAGCAGACTGCTGCCTTTTTCTTGGGCAGGGCAGCTGATGGGCTCAAACTGCTGAACTTTTGGTTAGCAGACCAACGCCTGACCCACTAGGTCAGCAGGGCTCCAAACACACATCCACATGCGGATGTGGATGTGTGTATATAACACACAATCAACACATGCAGAGTGGCCCGTTGGGATTGTTTACTTTGAACTATTCCCAACATGCCATTCCTCGAGGAGCACCCTTGGGAGCAGTGGCTTCCCACCGTGCTACTCACACCTGCCTGGACTTCTGTCTGCTGGTAGTCCTCTTGCTTTCCTTATTCATCTGGTCTCTTATTCTGTGTTTGTCTGTGTCTGCTTCCTTCACAGCCCTGTTATTGAATGAGCTTGGTAAGCATTTCATTTCTTGCATTTCCTCTCCATTTTTCTAGGTTATTTTCCATTTCTGTCAGGTGACACAGTAGCTTTCTGACTCTCCCTTATCTCTGTTGATTGGCTAGCCAGATTGTGCCTTCGGGCTTCATTTCCATCATGGTCAGCTAATGTATATTACATTTTTAATTTACTTTACATTTTTAAAGAATCGATGATTTCTGAGTTACGCTCAAGAATTAAATGTGTGCATGAAACTCCACAATGATTACAGGTGTTTCATATATTGTAAAATTGTAAATATAGTGGGGCAGATTTTCATCCCTTGGGTGGGTGTGCAGGCATCCCGGGAGCGCTGGGATTTCTTACTGAGACAACACATGGAACAAATGGTAACACTTATTTCTCTCTCTTTTGTTCTTTATAGGTGGCTTTACCATAACAGGTATGGATTTCTAAAGTTCAGTGCTGTGGAATTTTAATTTGTACTCTCTGTTCTCATCATATGTTTATGATTACCCTTGAAACAATTATTTCTCATTTTTATTTTCTTTTTATGAAGAAAAATACCTGTATGGTAAGATGTTTTTAATGTACCCTATCTTTGCAAATGCCCTTTAAAGTCACATAAACACCACCCCTGTGTTAACATGCAGCTGTGGTATAGAGTTTGCTCCTGCTGTTTTACACCACTAATATTCTACACTTTAATTACTTGCATGATGTACTTACATGGAAGTAAATGTATGCAGAAAACCTCTCATCACTTCATTTTGACACTAGACTGTTGACAAGCATCCGTGTATCACTGATGGTGTGCCGGGCGTCCTGCTATGATACATATGGCACAGTGCTGGCCTCAAGGAAACGTGGCCGTTGACATTCCAACACTGCTACTCAGCCCACCCTCAGGACCCTATTATTAATAGACAATACTGCCTGGGCAGTGGAATGAATACCCCCCTCCTCCACATTCTGCTAATCCATCTGACACCCTCCTTGGGGATTTGGGTTGGAGCACTAGTAACATAGTAAGAAGTACCATTTCTCCTACAAATTGCTCTATTAAAAACTAAAAATGAGAGCAAAGGGTTTAAAGCATTTAAATTCAGAGTGGTGTCCTACCTGGTTCATTAAATTATATGCAGATACCACAGTTCACAAGTCATCTTCTTGCTTCAAGAAGGTAGATATCCCGGCGCACCACCACCATCCTGGCCCCTCCCTCTACAGCATCTTCTCTTTTGAATCACCTATGCAGAGTTTGAGGAGATAGGTCACAAAAGCATCTCTGGTCTGTCTGTCTAATGTGGCCGGATGAAGATATCTCTAATCATTAAGGTCAAAGGGCTGACCTGCAGTGGCATTTTCCAAAATATCATGCTGCTATCAAGATCCGATTTATTTTTCTCTAAACTGGACAGATGCATAAACGTAATCCTTCAATCAATAAAAAGTCCTAATTGAGAAAACAGCAATGTTGGGATAAACTTAAACTCTTGTAAGTATAAGTTCATCGCCAACCCGTTCTAAATCAAGCCTGCCCTAAGTGAATAACTTCCCCAATATGGATTTCTTTCTACTGATATCCCTCCAACCCATCTGGTCTCTTATCTGTATGTGTCTTGGTCTGTTTCCAGCACGGCCCTGTTACTGAGTGAGCTTGGTACCATGGGCGCTGCACTCCACTTCTCTTCTCATGTGGCACTAAGTAATAACATAATTCAAATGCACAACTGGCCTTTCAGATTATGGGAAGGTTCAGAGAGATGAATGAGTCCACCCCAATTCACCACTGAACTCAGCGTTCAGCCCTGTCACTGCAGGTCCAGAGCTGGGACGACTGTCCTAACTCCATCATTGTCCTCTTTCCTTCGTCCCCAAGCCCCTCCTGTTTGCCAGGGTTCTGAAATGACACATCAGACATTTTCCATCCAAACTCCTGGTCCATCTAATAAATGCCGTCAGGGTCTGCATTCTATTCAAAGAAAAATAAATGAGCGGACTCCAAAGGGAGACATTCAGAGTACATAAGTATAGATTTCTTTTGTAAAGTTAATTATTCTGGCTCAAATCAGAGAGGAAAGAAACATTCTTATTCCCCCAAACTTCTAAGATACAAAGTCAGACAGTTCCCCACGTAATGAAATCATTGAACACTCAATGCCCTGGTGGGGTAGGGCTTATGCCTTGGGATTGACTCAATGGCAGTGAGTTTTCTGATTTTCTCCCTCTTTAATTGTACCCCAGGCATATTATGCTCATTGTGTAATAGATTTATTAAGGCATATGTCTTTCGAAGGAAAACAAACCACTTTCACCACTACACGACATAGGTTGGAAGAAGAAAGCCCCGTTCAGTACAGTTTCATTTTACAGTTGAGGAAACTGGGTCATAAATGTAGACACAAAACATAAAATGGAGTTGGCCCTGGGTCCCAGGTCTCGTGATTCCCGGGTCAGTCCCTGGAAGCTTTTTGTGGAAGCAAACAGCAGGTGGACGTGGCAGTCAGCTGGGTCAGGACTTCAATGAAACCCCCAGGTCTACTTAATCCATACAGTTGGCGTGACAATGACTTACCCTTGCTAAGCTTGCAAGTACCAAAGCACACACTCCTCCAAGCTGCCCAGGAAATAAATGCAGTAAGCATGTTCCCAGATGCCATTCCATTGACTGCGAAAGAAACCTCCAAATTGACAGAAAAGCACTACTGGTGCCATTTTCCTTGGGGAGAACTAGGAAGTTGGCTAGTTCAAGGTTTATTGTGAGCACCTATAGGCTCCAAGGATAGGCTTCCTGTCTTCACACCAAGGGCTTTCTGTTGTTCTAATACCGCTGAAAAATCGTAACTTGAAAGACCTGGGGACTCTATTTTGGGTGCTTGTAGGAGTCTGGCTACATCCTTTTGTGGGCTGAGTTTCCCTTCAAGTGGTTTGGCTCATGGGACACTTGCTTTCATCTGTGGTCAGTGGCCTCCACCAGCACTCTGCTCACTCCTGCTGTAGGGGTGACCTCCACCACTCCCATCCCAAACAAACCCTGCTTGTAGTGTGTGCATATGCTGTGATGTTGAGCCTACTAATTTCACAAAGTGCCGACAGCAAAGTCAATGCTATGTATTTCTGCTGATTTTCTGCTTGTCCTTTTGCTAGGCCAACCCGTCTTCAGGAAAGTACACGCTAGAGAGCACCCTCTTCCCTCCACTGTAATCAACATTGCAGGTACTCGTTTCACCTGGGCCTGGAAAGCCTCAGTTTCATTAACTTTCAGCGACCACCTCTAAAGGTTCTCGAGGTTTTAAGCATTCTAGTCATACACCTTCGCCTACGTTCGGCCAGAGCCTGTAAATCTTTCCTCATCTTCCCGCCCCGTGCTCCATTCAATAAGCGTGGTACTGAGTCCTGAGTTTGGTCCAGCATATTCCACATGGAAATCAAAATGCAAGCCTTCTTAGAGCCTCCCTAGGGGTCAGCCAAGTGCTGAAAGCTTTCAAAAATCTCTGCTCTTGGATTTGTCACCATAATTCTCAGGGAAGGATTAAAATAACCTTGGATACGATTCTCCCACCATTGCTTATTTGCTCTTTTCCAAACCCAACATTGTTCATAAAGATTATAAATCACCACCGCATTAAAACATAAGGGCAGTAATTCATCAAGTAAATGTCTATATAATCAGATAGGTGTGCATACCATCTTATTTTTCCACTGAGAATCCCCACTCACAGCGCCTTCACCTCTTCCCCAGCAGCAATGCTGTCCACGTGACAGAAGCAAGGAAGGTAGCTTGAGGATAATTCTGCTGGACTCCAATCCCAGATACCTAGTAGTTTTTCTTCTGTGCTGGGATTTGCAAAGCAAAATCAATTATGCTCCAGAATCGATGAGTTATTTTATGATAAGATTATTTCACGTCCTGCCAATATTGATTTTAACAGTGGCAGTCAACGACGCATTTGTTTTCTAAGTTGTGTTCATTGGTTAAGACTGGTTGATTAAGTATTGTATTGCCAATCTCTCAGTAAAATGCCCAGAGTTTATAAAGCGTGTGAGTAAACACAGCCATTCAGAAAGACAAAGAGACAACGGAAGAGAGAGAGAATTAATTTTCTCTAGCTGAAGCAAATTGAAAAGGACAGCATATTATCCCTCCGTAGGAGGAGATGAAACTGATTTTGAGCCTCTTAAAATGGGCTGCTTTAGCCACAGCTCACCATGGAAAGGACACCAACATAATAGATGAATGTAAAAAGTTCTTAATCCATTTCTGTATACAACAGAGTATCTAAAAAGAGAACCCCTGGAAAATGTAGCTAATACTTTTTTCTTCTTTGCCAAACCAAACATCTAAACCACACTACTACATTGATCTCATTGCATACCAATAATAGTTAGGATTTACCCAGCTACCTTCTCTAAATAACATGCATAATGGTCTCTTAAATTTTCATGGCACTTATTAAAGGGAAAGTACCACTACCCTGTCCATGATGTCAGACCTCTTTGTACTTTGACTTTTCTCTGCCTGGAACTCCCCTCCGGACCTGACCACCTCCAAATCACCCCTATTACTACTACCACCACCACCACCTGGCAAACTCTCATACAGGCTTCGTGATCAAGTTCAAACATATCCTCTCTCCTCTAGTCTCCCATGAATCCCTTAAAGTAAGTTGCTCCCCAACCTGCCTTTGTCCTGCTCTACTAGAAGGTCTCCATCTATCTGCCTCTCCCCCGTTAGGCCACCACCAATTCCTGGATGTTGAAGATTTCAGCTGTGCTCCCCTATTGTAGGAGTGCAATGACATGTGTCAAATGAACGAACAATTGGCTATCCATGGAGTCGATAAAAGACTTTTCTAAAACCTCACCGTCAGTTGGAGACTCAAATACTGAATACTGAGCAGCTCCTAATTTTTATACAAAGAGCCGTTGGTGGTGCCATGGTGAAGCACTCAGCTCTTCAACCAAAAGTTATGTGTTTGAACACACCTAGGGGTTCTTCGGGGGAGGGAGACCTGATGATCTGCTTTCATGCAGATTACAGTTCAGAAACCTCTAGGGTCCGTTCCACTCTGTCTAATAGCGTGATTATGAAAAGAAACTCAACTCCAGACATCTGACAACCACTTCCACATGTTGGGATCAGCCCTATGAGGACGATTCGCAGAGCACGGAGGCAGGTTTCTCTGTCCCCAGCAAGCTTCTGGGTCATTGTTGTTGTTGTCAATCAATTACTATCATTTCAGACTCCCGGGACCTCATGTAGGCAGGTGGAGCTGCTCATGGGGTTTGCAAGACTGGTCTTTCAGAAGCAAATAACCAGGCCTGCCTTCCACGGAGCCTCTCCTGGCGTCCACGCCACCAACCTTGTAGGGAACAGTTGAGCACTTAGCCATTCATGACACCCGGGGGATCCTCACTTGACATGTTGGAAACAGACTCGTCATCTACTTACTAATTGTCCATCTTTGGCACATGCTATGAATATGATGGATTTAATTCAAGGCTGGCTTGGTCATTCTTAAATGATGGCGGGAGCCTTTATGTAAGAAAATGCTCTCGGTGGGGCTCTGAAAGGTAAGAATGGTCCATTTTAAATAGAGACCTGGAGGCCTTTCCAGACAATGGGATCAAATCGTGGTGTTGCAGGTCCCGAAGCAGCTTTGGGGCAATACTAGAGCCGGTGATAAAGGCGCGAGGTGGCTTGCTTTTCTTTAGATTGGTATGAAGTCTATTAAAACAGTGTTTCCTCCATTTTAGTTATTCTCATACACCGTTTAATTTTTTTTGTGTTGGCTGCCTTCCTACCATACTATGTACCTAATATGATTTTTTGAAACGGGTTCATTTTTTAAAAAAACTTCATTAAATTGGTTTTAAAACAGAAACCTTAAACCACCAACATGAATGGAAAAACTCATATCACTTATCATAAATAGAAAGTAAGGTTAAAAGGTTATTAAAATCTAGCTAACTTAGCCAAATGTTGTAGGAGTGAGAATGTTGTTCTCTTTCCTAAAATAGTAGACACCGCAAATCTTAGAAACGAGGTACAGATATAACAACATCAAGCTAAGCATTTCTTCTTGGTCATAAGGGCTGATGGATGATGGAAAAGGCAATAACTTTCACTCACTGTGTGATTTGATTTCATGACTCTGGTGTACATTTATGCAATGTCATGTTCCAAAACGACTTTGTTTTGTGGATTGCTACATTAAGCAATGCCAACCGGTAGCCCTTACTTTGTCATTTCTCTATATTTCCTGCTCAAATTCCCTTGAGTCTTGTTAAAAGTAAATTGCAATTTATAAATTAAACTACAGAGAGGGGAGGGCCATAATTACCTACACCCAATGAAATTCCTTGTTGGTAATTCAAATAAAAATCTGAGTGGAAATGTCCCTTCTTCGGGGAAAAGTCATTCTCCTTTGACATGGGTCTCAAAGCCATTCATGTGCAGCCACGGTTTCCAACAAAGAGATGGTTCCTGACACTTTGAAAACAACCAAAAACGTGATTCTAGGTCAACAATCAGACACTGGTGAGGATCAACTCTGATGGATTTGAGAGCCTCCTGCAGTGCAACCCACAGTTCTCAATCCAGCTTCCTGGGCCAGCTCATCGTTTTCCCAAGACAAATCTTTGGGACTTTCATCAGAACCCTTTTGCCTTCCTTCAGGTCATAACTTCCCAAGCCTACTATAACATTTTTTTTGTAAGCAGCAGAAAATGAATACTGCTTTTGTTAAAACCCATCACCTGCGTATTGCCCTTGCCACTGATAGCAACCAGAAATTTCTGCCCTGTCTAATTTCCTGATATCCTGTGAGCCCTGAGGATAGGAAAGTTGATTTTTCAAATATCCCTCTGGGACAACATATTTGAATGTATTCTGCAAACTTAATCGGTGTGCTACATAGTGCTTTGCCTTTAGTTGGTTGTGACACTTATCTATAAAGTGCTGGCATTGTCCTTAGCCCATCTGCTCCCTGTGCCAGCAGGGATCAACTGGCCCCAACAATGGCTAGTTCTTGAAAGGGAGCCACCACAGCAGAGACCCTGAGCTGAGGCGAAGGCATGGGATTCTGGAGGGAATGGGGAGTCTTACAAAAATTGAAGCCCAAAGGCAAAAAGCAAGATGGCCTTGTGGTTAAACCTGGGCAAGAAAAAAGCCCCCGGTCCCTTTTGATGTCTCCTCAGTCAACAGACTCTAGTTTTCCCAGAAGTCCTAGAAGTGAGGGTATCAGGGCTGAAGTCTCTCTACAGGGCAGGCACTCCCTCCTTTAAAATCATTAGCTTAGCTGGACTCAGGCCTGAGGGGCCAAGTGATTCCAGGACTCCTATTTGTCCTTCACAAGCGCATGGCCTTTTCAGACGGAGCTAAATCTGAATGGCCTTCATGCAGAGAGGAGTCAACTGTGAGCTTCCCCTCATTAAAGGACTCTTGGGTCTATTAACATTTCCTCAGTGCCCACTCGCTGTTTACTCCTGGAGTGAATGCTACCTGGCAGTTGTGGAAAATAATCATGCTCAATCATGAGTCACTGTGCACTCCCTGAAGGCCTCGCCCTCGCCCCTCCCTGTTTACTTGAAGATTCACATGGCCAAGGTCTTTCTGTAACACCTCAGCTTTCCTCCAGAGTGAGAAAGCAGGGCTGGAGCTCAGGCATCTCACCAGAACGTGGAATGGGCGCGTTGCTACTTAACTCGCCCACAGAGGCTCTTGGCAAACGAGAGGCTTGAATCACACTTTGCCTTCCATCATCCTGTTGGCAACCGAGCATTTGCGTCGCCTCTAGAAAGGGGAGAGGGGCCGGCAGATCCCCGCTATACCTTTGCATGGGTGTAGCTCATTCCATTGTTTCCCTTTGGTCCAGTGCTGAAAGAGTAGGTACAGGCAGCCAGAGCAGCGTCACAGGGAGCAGCTGGGTGCTTCCCCCAACACGGCCAGTGATAGGCCCCTAAGAAGTGGCCTTTCCTGAACTGCACTTTGGCATGAGCCATCAGCTTAGGTTTGGGGACACTGTAATCACCTGCTGTCATAATAATTTGCTGCCCAATAGCTCATCTCAGGCCCCGTTCTCTGCTCCAGTCATATGATCACACCCAAGGGACTCTTTATAGGTCATTAAGGCTGCCTCCCAGTCCTGGGCTTTCTTGTAACAAGATCCAGGGCTTTTCCCCAATCAACTGGAACATACGACTCCCTCTCTTACCCTTCTTTTCACAGAGGAATGTGATGACAAGCAGCCGCTGACCAGCAAAGAGGAAGAGGAGCGGCGCATTGCGGAACTGGGGCGCCCCATCCTGGGAGAGCATGCCAAGCTGGAAGTGATCATTGAAGAATCCTATGAGTTCAAGGTACACCTCACCTGCATTGGCCATAGTGCTAGCCTCTGCTGTCAGAGACATCTGGAAAGACAGGTGTCATGTGAGGAACTGGCTCCTGAGCTGGGAGGCCTTCAGAGCAGTGGTCCATGCTTCAGATGATACAGGTGTTTTCTCAGGTTAACTGTGTGAGCCTGGGATGACCCGAAGACTCGGGGATGAAACTGGCAGTCCATCTTTAGCTGCTTTCTTGCCCCTACCCCGCCCTCTTGTCCCGACACCTGAGGACCTTCTAGGCGAAGCCATGCCTCACTTCTGCAGGGTGAACTGTCAGAGAAGCAAGCACCTCCTCTCTTGCTTTCCAGACTAGCAAACCCAGTGCCCGGTCCTGTCTCCCACCTCTGTTTGTCAGAAGCAGACGGGCCCTGCTGGAGACACTGGAATGAGGGCGCCAAAAGGAGAATCAGGCCCCCAACTCAGAAACCTTAGTATTTTATTTTATTAGGGTGTTTTTTTTTAATAGCAAAGTCCTCTTTTCCTTTAGCTGCATGCATTCTTATTTTTTTTAATTCAGTTCACAAATTGAAATGCCTGATAGACAGGCATGAAGACAAATGCCTTTGCAATTAAAGTGGAATTTTTCAAAGATAAAAATGCAATTAAACTCATCCCTTTGGGCCACGGAGGCTCTAAGTTTCCCTGTCTCTCATCCCCTTCGAGTGACAGAACAAGGGCAAACACTGGGCGGGCCCCAGTGATGATCAAGCACACAGTGGCAGTGCGCATGATAACTAGCATGCCCAAGTGCCCTGTAATGACCTCTGGGGACCAATCTGGAGAGCTCTTATTGGATATGTGGCCCTGCCCTGAAGGTGCCGTGGTTTGGCAGTGGTGGAGCAAGCTTGAGCCCTCGCCCATGCAGAGAGCGCGTGGCGCTCCGTGCTCTCTTCCTGCTGAGCAAGCCTCCAACTTACCCTCTCCGTGCACGCTTGCTGTGGAAAATCCATCAGAGTAACTTCCCTCGAGGGCACTAAGACATTTTGAATAGCATTCTGTCAAGAAATTTCTTTTTCTAGAACACGGTGATTTCATCACACTTGTTCAACTCTCCCGGAATTGTAGGAGAGACCAAAATTGGAGTGACAACGCACAGTTCCTGACTCTGCTTTCCCCAGAGTTCTTGTACACCCCGTTGTGAATAAGGGTGTGCCTGGACTAACAATCCCTTGCAAATCTAATTCAGTGATGAGCTGATCACTGGCGGTTAGGATACCTGTAGATAATTAGAATTGGCAAAGTCCAAGGTCCAGGGTGAAATTCTTCTTTATTACCTTCCCTTCCTCTCAGAGATCTGGGAAAGACATCTGTGTCAAATAAGTCCTAGAAAGAGCCCTGGTGGACCATAGTCCTCCAGGGCTCACATGAGCTGCCCTGGCTTATACATATGTCATCACATTGAGTTTAGTATATCTTACAACTTTGTGTGCAGCCATCAGCGCTCTTTATCTGTGCAATTGGCTCCCTCCCCTGTGATGGGATCACCTACCTTGGTCTTAGCGGGCAGAGGAGGGATTGAGAAGGACCTGCTTCGAGTTTCCGTCACATTTGGCATAGTCAGCCTTGTTTCTTGTTGCCATCTACACTGAGCTTGAGTTGGCATCGACCAACGCACTGCTTGAGAAAATATGACGGAGTTGAGAGAGAAAAGAAAAGGTGTCTGCCGTGTGGTCCGAGTGATGACAGCCTCACGCAGGGTCTGCGGAAGCTCTTACCAGGGGTGCTGCCGTCGTAGACGCATGGCTAGAGGCTGAAAGGTCTCCTCCCCAAAGACATTTAATGTAGCAGAGACTGACGTTGAAAGCCCAAAGCAGACCAGTTAGAGATTGGCCCTTGCATGCTTCTCATTTCAATCTTGGTTCACGTCAGTCCCTATGGCTTTGCTTGAACTTGCACACTGAGTGTTCTGGTGTTGCCTTTGGCCTTGCACTCGTGAGCCCAGAATTGTACTTCCCTGACCCTCAGGGAGCTGAAAACCTGCTAGCCCTCAATTCATAGTCCAGTCAGGTACACTGCAGTAAGCAAGTACAGATTCTGACCTAACGCAAATAATACGTGTTTTTTGCCCCTTTGCAATTAGTGGGA